AGCAGCCACCACACCCAGCTCAGGTCCCCAGGCAGCGGTGCTGGGCCCAGAACCCATGGAGGGAGGCTGCCAAGGACCACGGTGTGCCGAAAGCCCGATGACTGGTTCTCACAGCCGGTGCTCCCTGGCCTCCCTCTCAGACATCGGAATTCCCAGACTGCCCTGTTGCACGGTCCGCACGTGACCCCATCGCGCCTGTAAACGCGCTAAACTTATCACACACCGTGGGAGAAACACCGGCTGCCGTGGTAAGTGGGGTCACCCTTGGGGAAGCCCACACAAGCCAGGCAGCCACCTCTCCTCTGCTCCCCTCAGCCCTCAGAGGCCCAGGAGGGGCCCTGTGGTTGCCCACACCCCGAGCTGTGCCCGCTCAGAACGGCCCTGCAAAGCCAGGCATGCACATCTTGTTCTCGCTCCTCTCACCCCAGCATCTTTGGGGCTGAAACTGCTGGGTCCGGCCGCTCCGTCTCCAGCCAAGTCTCCAGCTCTCCTCCTCACACTGGGGAGGCAACACCCTGAAGTCCTAAAAATCCTGAATTTCATCCATTAGCATGTGTTCCCTGCTTGTAGAAAGGCTCATGGTGATTGTAATTGCATCAAAGTGGAGGGGAGGAAAGGAAGGCTGGCCAGCACTGTGGCGCAGTGGTTAAAGCTGCCGCCTGCGACGCCGGCATCCTATGTGGATGCTGGTTCTAGTTGCAGTGGCTCCACTTCCTATCCAGCTCCCTGCTAACGTGCCTGGAAAAGCAGCAGAAGATAGCCCAAGTACTTGGGCCCCTGCCACCCTCATGGGAGCCCCAGATGAAGCTCTTGGCTCCTGGCATTGGCCTGGCCCAGCCATAGCTGTCATGGCCATTTGAGAAATGAACCAGAGGATGGAAGATTGTCTGCCTCTGTCTTTCCCTCTCCCTCTGCCTCTCTGTAACTCTGCCTTTCAGTTAAAGTAACTAAGCCCTTTAAAAAAAAGGGGGGGGGGAGGGAGTCCTCAGAGTACAGTGATTGGCATGGCACAGGGTAATAGTCTCTCTGTGTACGTAAACTGGGAAGAAAATGTAAGTTAATGCATAGATAGATACATAGAAAGAAAGAAGAAGAAAGAAAGAAGATACATAGAAAGAAAGAAAGTAAATAATAAGATGTCTGTAGCCACTGAAAAAAATAGAATATTTCACAAGAATGGACATATTTAACTGTTAATACAAAAATATTATACAAGTTAAGCAATAATAGCATACCTAGCAAAAAGATTCCCTTGTATGCAGTGGTATAGATACACCACATTGTCAACCCATTCACCCATTGATGGGCTTTGCGTTGTTCCTGTGTTTTGCTATTGAACTGTTGCTGATGAACCTTTGTGTACAGTTCTGGGTGGATATGTGTTCATTTCTCTCGGACAGATTCTCAGGAATGGAATTTTTCTGGTCACATTTTAAGAAACTGCCGACCTGGTTTCTAAAATGACTGTACCTTTTACAGTCCGATCAGCAATGTACAAAGGTTTCAGTTTCTACACATCCCTGTGCGTCTCTCTGATTGGAGCTGTTGTGTGGGTATTAAGAGTTATTAATGTGTTTTCAATCTCCATTTCCCAGTGACTGTTCCTGTTGAGTGCTTTTCACATGATTGTTAGCCAGTTTGTGCGTTCTCCTGGTGAAAGGTCTACTCCAGTCTTTGTGCCTTTTGTATTTGGGTTGTTTGTCTTCCTACTATTGAGTTGTAAGAGTTCTTTATAAGTTCTTGATGTGCACATTCTATTCCCAGTGTGTGACTTACTTTATTTTTCCTAATGGCATCATTTTAATAATAATTTTGTAGGGCTATAACTCACACCCCTCACAGTCTGCTATTTTGAAGTGTAAAATTCAGTGGTTTTTAATGTAATCACAGAGTTTTGCAAGAACCATCATCACAATTTTAGAACACATCATCACCCTACCCATTAGCAGTCACTGCTCATCCTGCCCCAACCACTAATCCGCTTTTTGTCTCTCTGGATTTGTCTGTTTATTCTAGACATTTCATATAAGTGGGATCACACAGTGTGTGGTCTTTGTGACTGATCTCTTTCATTTAGCAAAATGTTTTCAAGGTCCACCCATGTTGTAATACCTGTCAGTACTTCTCTTTTTATTGCTGGGTAATATTCCATGTATGTAATATATATGTATGTAATATGTATGAGTATGCTACATTTCATTTAAATCATTCATTGATGGACATTTGAGTTGTTTCTGCTTTTTGGCTTTTTTTTTTTTTAACCTAAAGACAGGTGTATTTAATTATTTATTTGAAATAGTTAAGGGACTGGCACTGTGGTACAGCAGGTTAAGCTGCCACCTGCAGTTCCAGCATCCCATATGGGCACTGGTTCGAGACCTGGCTGTTCTACTTCCAATCCAGCTTCCTGCTAATGTGCCGGGAGGGCAGTGGAAGATGACCCAAGTCCTTGGGCCTTCTGGAACCCATGTGGGAAACCTGGAAAAAGCTCATGGCTCTTGGCTTCAGCCTGGCCTAGCCCTTGGCCATTGCAGCCATTTAGAGAGTGAACCAGCAGATGGAAGCTCGCTCTCGCTCTCTCTCTCTCTCTCTCTCTCTCCTCTCTCTCTCTAACTTTGCATTTCAAGTAAATAAATAAATATGAAAACACAGAGTTAGAGGGAGAGACAGGGAGACAGGATCTTCCATCTGCTGGTTCACTTCCCAGATGGTCACAATGGCCAGAGCTGGCCTAGGCCGAAACCAGGAGCCAGGAGCTGCATCCAGGTCTCCCACGTGGGGAGCAGAGGTCCAAACACTTGGGGCGTCTTCTGCTGCTGCTTTCTTCAGGCCATTAGCAGGAAGCTGGATGGGAAGTGCAGCATCTGGGACATGAACCAGCACCCATACAGGATGCCGGCATCACAGACAACAGTGGCTTTACTCACCACACCACACCACGCCATGCCACGCCACGATGCTGGCCTCTTGTTGGCTAAGTTGAATAATGCTGCTTCCATGAACAGTTGTGCAGATTGTTGTGTGGACATACGTTCATCTCTCTTGGGTGTGTATCTAGAACTGGAACTGCTGGGTCACCTGGTACTCAACGTTCAACCTTTAGCTCAGCCACCAGGCCGTTTTCCCGAGCAGCTGTTCGTTCCCTTCTCCATTTCTCTCAGCAGTGTGTGGAGGTTCCTGGGGCTCTACAGCCGTGCCTACACTTAGCACCTGCCTTTTTTGATCACAACCATCCTAGTGGGTAAAGTAGTATCTCATGGTCTCGATTTGTGTCTGCCCAGGGCCTAGTACTGGTGAGCATCTCTTCTGTGCTTATTTGGACACTATGCGTCTTAGCCGATTCAGATTCTTTGCCCAGTTGAAAATTAGGTTATTTGACCTGTTGTTACTGAACTGGAAGAGTTCCAGGTACAGATCCATTATCAGACACGTCGTGTGCAGAAGTTCTGTGCCTGCCTGTGGCTTGTCTTTTGCTTTCTCCGTGCTGTCCTTTGAAGCACAGAAGTTTGTTTTGTAGCTTCTGCTTCTCATATGCTCTCCTACCCAAGATCATAAGGCTTCTCCCTGTTTTCTTCCAAGAGTTTTGTAGGTTTAGCTCCCGTGCGTAGGTTATTGAGCCATTCTGAGTCCATGTGTCCATGTAGTGTTTAATGATGCTTTTTGAAGAACAGAAGCTTTTAATTTTGATGAAATTCAACGTGTCTTTCATATAGCTTGGTTTTGGTGTCACATCTAAGAAATCTGCCTAACCCATGTCTGCAAAGATTTCTTTATGTTTTCTTTGAGAAGTTTTACAGTTTTAGCTGTTATAGTTACTTTGATCCCTTTCAAGTTAGTTTTTTAAAATGACATGAGACGTGAGGGTCTGTGATCATATTTATTTGTGTCCTGGAAAGAGTCCAGGAAGTGTGCTAAGTGATAAAAGGAAACTGCGAAACCATGTGTGCAGTATACTACTACTCACGCACAGCTTACAAGTATAAGATGCACAGATATGCGGGTACACGGGGTGAGAAGTTTCACACCCAGCTCTCTGACAGTGGCCGCCACCGAAGGGGTAAGAAAAGGAACTGGGAATGGCAAGAGCAGTGGGCACGGAGCTCCTCAGGTTTATCTGCAGTACTTCCAGGTGGAAATAAATGTGACAGGGTCACGTGTGTCGGTTTGGAGTGGTTTATATCACACTTTCTGGTTTTCCACCTTTGTAAACTTCTCAAGTTAAAATCCACACACATAGAAATGACTCAGAGGTAAGACCAGCACCAAGACCAGAAACCGTTTCTGTCGAGGTCAGTGCCCGGCCGAGCCAGGGCCGAGTCCCTCTGCTGCGGGCCTTCCGAGCCTGGTTCCTGGGAAGATAGGGGTCTTCGTTTGCGCTCCTCCCTCCTTGGCTTGTATTCTCCCAGTGCTGCTTCTGCAGAAAGCCCCAGCTCTGCCGCACGCAGCAGCCCCAAGGAGCAGCCCCCTGCCCTGTGAGCTGCCTCTGTTCAGTTTCCGTCTTGCATTGTGCTTTCCCATCCCCCCAGCCTGTGGTGTGTGGTTGGTGGGGGCCCTGGGAGAGGCCTCGCTGACCCGAGCCCTGGGCCGCAGCCTGACCCTCTGGGTGGCGAGCCCGGCACAGGCCCGTGGCTCTGCTCATCTTTGGTTCTCTCCTGTTAACTGGACAGGGAAGCCTGGCCCTTCCTGCTGTGGCTGTTGGGGGATCAGAGGAGAGTGAGTGCATGAACCGGCGCGTGCACAAATGTGTCTGTGAACAAACAGGCAGGACGTCTGCATCTTCCTCCCTCCTGGCCCTCCAGCAGCTGACCCCGCCGCCGGCCCCCTCGGCCTCCCTGAAATGCCCCCTTCGCACCAGGCTCTCCTTCCCCTTCCTCCTCTCTCCAGTCCTGGGGCAGCCTGGGCGTTCGCTTCACACATGGCCAAGCCCGCGCCAGCTCCACCTGGCTTTCCCTTTCCTCAGAGATACCTGAGCTCCCCTGTTCTCTCTCTGACCCTCCCAGGCGCAGGCCGCGGGGTCCCCGCACACGTCACCCACTCACGGAGGTGGCCGCCCCATGCCCATGCCCGTCCGCTCCACGTCAGCCGGCTCCACGCCCACCCACTGCCCGCAGGACTCACTGAGCGGCGTCGGCGGAGACGTGCAGGAGGCGTTCGCACAAGGTGGGTGCTTGCCGCATGGCACAGGGAGGGGTCATCCCGCAGTTTCTGTGCTTTTGTTGAAAGCTCTTGGCTTCAGTGTGGGATTAAGTCAGGTGCTGGCCCCTTCCTGTTAGATGGGCCGGTCTCCAGTAGCAGGTACACACACAGCAGCCGTGTGGGGGAGCTGGGGCGCGGGGCTTGTGCTTTGGACCTTGTCCCCTTCAGAGGAAGTGGATGGAGTAGCTCTCAAGTCATGCCCCCAGCCCTGCAAGCCTTGGGCGCAAGCACAGGATGGGCACATGGACTCCACACACCACCCTGCGAGGGCACGGCCGTGTGAGGCTCAGCGACACTGAGAAGTTGGGTGGGAGACGAGGGGGCTCAAGCAGGAAGTCTTGGGGGCAGGGGACAAGGAGGGGTGCTGGCGAGTGAATTCCGCCCGCAGCTGACCAGCACCTCCATGTACGGCTCGCTCTGGATCTCAGCTCTGCCGCGCAGGGAGAGGCGGCGGCGGCCGTGAGGACGGGGCTGGGGCTCCTCTTGCTCCTGCTGTGCCCGGGAGCAGGTGGAGCTGCCGCAGCCCCGTCTCCCCGCAGGCGTCCTGCACCTGCGTGCCAGGGCCTGGCAGGATGAGGCGTTTACCCAGCTCTCCTCTCCGTGCCCACCGCCCTGGCATCGCCGTCTGCTGACTCCCCTCAGGTACGAGGAGAAACCTGCGCAGTGACCTGCTGGTGGCTGCCGACTCCATCACCAACACCATGTCATCCCTGGTGAAAGAGCTCCGATCAGGTGAAGCCCAGAGCTCCCCCGCGGCACACGCGGCCTCGTCTCACCCCTCAGTCTTTGCCTTCTAGGGTGCGGCGGAGGGCAGCGCCCACAGAGCGTGAGCCCGGGGGTGGGGACGGTCACACATTTAGCTCGACCTGCCTTGCGGAGCCAACACAGTTCTGAGTGTAAGGAATCCAGATCTGCACCCGGCAAGGCCCCTTCGTGCCTGCCCTGTCTCCGCCTGCGCTTCCTGCACAGCCGCTCCCTCCCTAGGCCTGGCCGCATCTCGGTCAGAAGCTTTTTCCGGGATGTCTGGACTGGCGTCGGCCACCAAAGCGCTGGACTTCCTCCCTCCGCCTCTCTGCTCTCTCCTCCTCCGTCTGGCCTTGAAACCCCAGCCCCTGCTCTGTCCGCCACTCAGCTCCGACTGCACCTGAAGCGCACGACCTGAGCCTGTTGCTTCCTGTGCTCCCCACCTGACTTCTCGCTCCGTCTTTCCCTCACTCAGTACTGCAGCGGCGTCCTAGAGGCCCCTGTTTCATGGCCTCTCCCTACACAGAACCCGGAGGGGGTGGGGAAGAAAAGCCACTCGGGTGCCATCATCACCCCAGGAATGCCCGTGGCTCCGCCAGCCTTGCAGCTGCCCGACACCTCTTGTTTTCCAGGGCTGGGGCTTCCACGGCGTCCAGGAAGCGAGTGGCCCCTTCCTGCGCGCCGTGCTCGCTCGCGCCAGGGCCCGCCTCGTCTCCGTTCACTCGTCGTGTGCTTCGGAGCACCCGGCAGTAGCTGCAGAAGGTTATTCAGTAGAAACCTGGGCAGCTTTTTCACAGCCATTCCAACACGTACACCTCGACTGAGACAGCCCTGGGTGTGTGCAGAGCCACGCAGGGAAGTCCTACCCTTCCAGGGCTGTCGGGGGCTCCCCAAGGTCTGGCCCAAGTCAGCCTGCTTTCCCTGTAGAATTAGCAAGGGGCCCAGCAGGTTTTAAATCTGAACGGGTTAGGATCAGCCACTAGTGCTCTGCTCTCTGGTGGCTTCTCGGGCCCCTGTCTCTGGTCCTCCGCCTCCTTCACAAAGGGGGCCAGGGCCTGGGCATGACTTCCCGATGTCCCTGCCCCAGACTCCAGCCATCCTAGCATCCAAGGACATTCCCAAGGGCTCCAGGCTGTGGAAATGACCTTCCCTCATGTCCTGTGGCTGCTCGTTAGGGTTTGTGCAAACTAGGTGGCTGGCACACTCCTCACACAAGAGTGAGGGTGCAGTTGGACAGCATGAAGCCCTGAGCCCCAGAGGCCTCGCTCCATGGAAAGCACACATCTGTGGGGAGACTCCGGGACCCCCCAGCAGGAGAGGATGCCGACTGGAAGACGCCTCAGAGATCAACGCCGCAAGCGATTGCCTGGCAGAAGTAAAATCCTTGCATGCAAGGAGGCCAGCACCAAACTCCTGCCTCCCTCCTCCCCGGCGCCTCCAGGTTTCCATCAGGAGGAGAGGGCCGTGCAGACCTCTCGACGCGTGTTCTGGGCAGGTGCACGCTGCCTGTGTCCATGGTTCGTCTTCCCGTCTGAGAAACATGCTCACAAGTGACGGGATCCCAGAGCTGGGACGGCCCTGACGAGTCACTGGGTCCCACTTGCCGCCCAGGACAGTCCTGCTTGGACACTGCCAGGGAGCTCATTCAGGGCCAGCCCTTGCCACCAGGGAGCCACAGCCTGCCTTCCTGTAGCCAATTGCTGGTGCCCCCGGCAGCCACCCGAGGAACCCGGTGTGGCCTCTGCAGCTTCAGCTCCCGAGTGGATGGCGGACAGCATGGGTCTCCGAGCTCCTTCACCCAGTCCCTTCACCCTGCTGGACCACCCCAGGACGTAGCCCAGTTCTCCACAGCTCCAGTGCGAAGTGGGCACCCAGGGCCAGCGTCCTCACCACTCCTAACTCAGGGGGTCTCACCCTGCAGAGCGCACAGGGTGAATCCCCCCCAGGGACCGCAGATGGCACTGGCTGTCTCTCACACAGCCGCTCAGCACTGTGCCGTCACTTTAAGTTTATCCTCAGCTAAAACACTAGGTTTTTTTGTTTGTTTGTTTTGTTTTGTTTTTTGAGCCAGTGTTAATTTAGGCATGCCCGTACCACGCACTGTTACAGTAACTTTCCTGGATCTGAATGCAAGATGTGCATTAGGGAACACCCAGGCTCCCCAGTCACCAGGGTGGCCGGGGCAGAGCCAGCAGCACAGTGGGCGGCATCAGATGCTCTGCTTGCTGTGGGCCCAGGGCAGCTGGGCTCCGTTCCACAGTGCTGGGGCCTGGGCCTCGCAGGGTGTGGCCCAGACCTGGGGATGGTCCCCGCCTCCCGCCTTTGTGCTGCACGGAAGGGTCACTGGCCTCCTTGGACTTGTTTCCACAGCAGAAGAAGATGCAGACGAAGAAGACGACAAGATGCAGAACGGCAAAGACAGAGGTAAAGGCAGCGCGCGTGACACCCAGCCCCTCCCCTTTGTCTCTGCTGCCCTCCCCCCCCACCCCACCCCGCCACCTCCCCTCCCGGGTTCCTCCCACCCACTCTCCCGTCAGCCAGTGACGTCAGTGGGTGCACAGAGGCTTCCTGAACCCCTGCTGCGGGGGTGGGGGTCGGGGCGGGGCTGAGGATGCAAATGAAGGAAAACCTAAGGTGGACCCTCGGCCTCCAGGGGCTTACAGTGTGGTTGGGAAAGCAAGATGGAGACAGGCAAAATAAGCAGCCACAGTGGTCCGGGAAACTGCGCGGGCTCCCTGAGAAGGGAGAGACGGCCGTGGGCTGGAGTCGCCCTGTGCTTTCGTGGAGAATAGAGGGGAAAGTTGTCAGCAAAGCCGAGGCCAGCCGGGCCTCCCTGTTCTCACTGGATACAGACCTAGTCCGTGTGGGGAGAGCTGTGCTCGGCGCTTTTCCTGTTATCCCGGGACGTTTGAGAGTCAGCTGTTATCTCCGCCAAATATGACTCTCTGTTGCTGGATTCCTCCAGAGTGTAGGCTCCCAAGGCAGAGGCCTCGGCCCGTTCTGTCCATGCTGTCTCTCCACGCAGCCCCTAGGACGACGCCTGGCACATAGTAGGACGTCAGTGCGTGAACCTGGTGCTCCGTAGGAGGATACTGTTGGGGGAGGGGGGACACGGAGTGGCTGGTGTCCCCGGGAGGCCAAGCTGCCTGCTGCCCGCCGAGCACAGAGCTCGTCCTTCTCATCTGCCCTCCCAGCTCCAGAGGGGAGCAGACGTGGCGGTGTAAGTGGCAGGGCCTGGCCTCGGCTCGGGAATCTCTACCTTCAATGCCCGCGCTTTAGCCTGAGCAAAACCAGGAGGCCGAGCCAGGCAGGAAGGTCTCGGGGACAGGTGGAGCGGGGTCCAAGTGGGAGATCGAGGGCAGGAAGCTGGCAGGATGGTGGTTCCGGAGCCCCGTCCGCCGGAGCGGTGCATGCGGGTAAGGGGGAGGGGGTGACCGGAGCTACCAGCAAGCACGCCGAAATGGCCCAGGGGCGCAGGAAGAGAAGGAGCACTGCAGGCGCTGAGGTGTGGCGAGTCGGAACAGGGCCCCGGCGCGGGTGGACGGCAGAGATGGTGAACCGAGGTGAACGCCGTAGTCGGCATGGACGCCAGGAGGTCAGAAGCAGGGAGCAGCCACGTTCCCAACACCCAGAAACACCGTGGAGAAAAGTAGAGAAGACTGCTCCCCCATGCAGAGGGGAAGGACGTAGGGCAAGAGGTGGAGAGGAGAAGACACTCCGCACGCATGCACACGTGTGCACGCACACGCTCCAGCCAGATGCCGGCATCCACGTGCGGTGGCCCTGGCTGGACACTGAACAGCTGCTGCCAAGGCCTCGCCTGCTGCACAGCCTCCTCCCGCCGTGACCTCTCCTTGGGTCGCCGGGGATGGGTCCCAGCCGCCCGGCCTGTGTAGCGTGGACCCCCACCTTGTCCCGTCCTGTCTGAATGTGGGCAGTGTGGTTCCCCGTGCCCGCCACTGCCCGCCTCAGGGCTCTGCCCTTGCCCTCGAGGTGTGCCAGCAGTATTTCCGTCTCTCTCTGCGGCTCGTAGCACCGCCTCACCTCTCCACGAATACACCAGAGCATCCATCCACAGGGAGGCCTTTCCTGGACTTGGATTGCCGTGGTTTTGGGCGTGGACTAAGAGCCCGGGGCGAGGCCTGAGCAGTGTTTTAGAAACGTTTGACTCTCAGGGTAGCAAGGGTACAGTGTAGCTCGCGCGTGGCTGTTGCCTGTGGGTGGGCCTCCTGCTCCTCTGCTGGGGTCCAGACAAGCCCCCCCTGCCTTATGCTCCCTGTGCCCGGATTCCCCCCCCCCCGCCCCGCCCCAGGTAGGGAGCTGTCAGGCCTGTTTGCACCCTGCGGACCCCTGGTGCAGCGGCCCCTCCGTGAGAATGGAGGCAGGCTCTTGAGGGCCCAGGCTGTGCCGGCACCTTCAGGGTGAGCAAGAGCCAGGCCGCGAGCGTCTGGGGGCAGCGCACTGCAGGCAGGGGATCCCAGCGGCCCCACGCAGCTGCCCCATGTTTGCGGCCATGGCCATTTCATGTTGGTCGCGGTGGCGGGTGTAGACAGTGTGAGTCCACCCAGATCTCCAGGAGAGGCAGGAAGGGCCCCAGAGCAGCAGGGGTGACGGCGTGTGTTCTCTCTGCCCCTGCGCACAGGTTAGCAGAGCAGCGGGCACACAGAGAAGCCCGGTGAGTACAGTGTCCGCGGCCCCTCCCTTCTCCTGGGTCTCCGGTCCCCCCCCCCCGCCCCGTGTTAAGCTGCAGGGCCGGGGCAGCGCTAACAGTGAGGAAATGAGCCCGCTGTTCCGTGTGCCCGTGGTGGCCGCGGACCCAACTCAGCTGGCTGCACAGGGCTCAGCCTGCGCCTGGGCTCTGCCTCCTGTCCCCATTTCCCACCGACACAGTCCACTTCTCTTCTGGGAGCCCGACCACAGCCAGTGTGCCCCTGGGCCCCTGTCGGTCAGCACTGGCAGCTGTTGAGCCCGCAGGGTCATGCTGATGCAGACGGGCCTGGCCGAGCTGTCCCTCTTCTGTCCAAAAATCAGATGAGTCTGAGCGCAGTGGCCCCACGGGCACGTGGGCGGGCCTCTAGGAAGCGTCTTCCCGGTGTTTCACCCCACCGCCTTGCCTTGCCCGCCCCAGCTTCCAGGCAGGCCCGGGGAGGCGAGGGGCGCAGGGCCGCTGCCTCAGCTGGTTCAAGTGTGCATTCCCTGGGGACAGCCAGGAGACCCCAGTTTTAGATGATTTCCCTCCCCCACTTCTTTCTCTTTAAACCCTAGACATCTCCCTCAGGTCACACCTTCAGGGTGGAAAAGCCACGGCCGGCACCCAGAAAAGGGGCTTTCTCAGAACCTTCCTGGCCGCCTCCCAGGACAGCCCCAGGCCCTCCCTGGCCCTCTCACCCCCTACCCTTCCAGCCCCTGGGAAAGTCAGGAAGAGCCTCGCCCGGCAGGGCCCGCCATGGCCCCTGTCTCCGCGACACGGAGGGGACCTGGGAGGAGGGGGAGGGCGCACCTGCGGCAGCCAGGGCCCCACCCCGGGGCTCGGAGCCAGGGCTGGGGTCGGCGGCCTTCTGCCTCCAGAACCTGTCCTCCGTGACCCGCCCCAGGGGCCAGGAATCCCCGCTCCCCTGCCCCGCCCTCGGCGGCGGCGCGCGCATCCGTGTGCTCCGGGCCACACTTGGGCCCAAGAAAGCGCCGGCGCCCGCGGCGCGTGACTAACGGTGCGTCTGTCTTATCAGGCCCGCAGGACGAGGAGCACGCCGGCCCCGACACGACGAAGGCACGGGCGTCCGCCCGGAGGCGCATTCCTGCCCGGCCCGCCGCCGCCGCCGCACACCTGCACCGGGCCTGCGGGCGCCGGGCGGAGCGCGGGGACGCGCGAGCCGGCGCGGGGCAGGGGCTCGCCCGGGCGCCGGAACTGGCCCCGGAGGTTGGAAAGAGAAAAAAGAAAAGGCACGGAGCGTTGTCGTGTGTGCTTGTGCGTGCGTGCGTGTGTGTCGGTTCTGACGGGGCGCCCCAGCGCGGGCGGGACCTCCGCGAACCCACGCCTCCCTCCGCCAGGGGGCGCTCGGGGGGGCGCCGTTCCCACGCAGCCGCTCCCCGCGGGCTTGCGCGCAGCTCGGGCACGTGACGCTCAGTCCAATTCCTGGTGATTTTCATTTATTTTTTTTCCCTCCTCCCCGGGTTCCAGGATGTTATTTTTAGTAGAAGAGCTGCTATAAATATTTATAAAGGGCAGCGGCTGGAATGAAGTGAGAGGCCCCACGGCCGGCTCTGCGACCCCTGGTCTAAGGTCCGCGCAGCCCGTGGGGGTGGAGCACCCCGAAACCTGGAGGAGTGGCAGGGGCAGCATTAGGTGTCCCCACCTGTCCCCTCCACCTGCCCCTTCTCCCACGCCCTCCCCCCACACACACATCTTCACGGCTCTGAGAACTGGGCTCGAATTGTGGGGGCAGGGGAGACCCTTGTCCTCCACCCCTGCCTGTCCCCACACGGATCGGGCAGGCAGGCAGAGGAGGGAAAAAAAGTGGGCTTGTCCACGTTCAGCAGACCGGGGGGGGGGCGGAGGAGGGTGCGCCACCCGTGGAAGGTTCCAGGGGTGCTGGGTGGGATTGGGGATCAGGGTGCGACAGGTCTCAGCGGTGACCCGGCTCGGCCCCTGTGCCTTCCCCACGACCCTGGCCTCCCTGGCCCCTGAGGACAGCACATCCCCACCAGGGCAGAGAAAGCTAAAGGCGCCGTCAGGCTGACAGCGCAGTGTCCCCTCGCCTCCGCGGGTGGGTGCCGGCCCGGGCGCGGGCTGTGCGGGGCGCGCCACCCGCGGCCTCTCTCATTCCGCCTTCTGCAAAGAGCAGCGTTCCTCTCTTCTCGGTCCTGGCCGCCTGTTGGTGGGGATGCGGTGGGCGCCCGCTGTAGCGTTGTTGACAGGTGATTTCTTGTGGAGCTGCGGTAGCCGCTGTCGCCGTCTGCAGCCTGGCCTGGAGCGCGGATGCTCTTCCTGCGCCGGGCACGTCCTCCTGGCTGGCTGCGGCCGTTTCGGAGTGTAGCCTCCACGGGTGACCTGACCCCCACACACTCTCCCCCGCCCCGCTGAGACCCTGCACGGGTACTGATTGCATCCCAGGTCGGGACGTAGCCGCAGCCCCCCTGAGCTCTGGCCTATGGCTCCCAGCCCCCCTGAGCTCCTGGGCAGGTGCACAGCCCTCGCACCTGCTGGCTGGGCCTTTCATCCCCTTGCAGACCCCTCTTCTGCCTTGCTCCGTGGTCCATGACAGCTTCAGGAAGGTACCGTTGCTATGGCAATGCCAGCAGCCCTCTGAATTCCTACTGCACCTTCGGAGGAAAAGGGCCCTGAAGAGGCAGTCGGCAGATGCCGGTCCGCTGGGGCCTCAGCGCACCACCAGGGGTCAGGTGACCAGAGCAAGGCAAGACAGTAAATACAGCAGCAAACCCCGTGCCTGGGCACCCCCATGTGGGGACGAGGACGCGAAAGGTTTCCTACCTGCAGTTCTGCATGGCTCTCAAGCCCACATCACAGCCCCAGGAGGGCTCGTGAACTTCCGGGTGGCTTGGCTGTGCCTCGGGAGCTGCGGGTGCAGCCCGAGCACCTGCAGCTGTAGCCAGCTCCCAGATGGCAGAGGTGCGGTTGGTCCGAGACCCCACAGTGGGAACCGCTGCAGTGTGCCGAGGAGGGAAGGATCCTAGGTGCAGGAAGCCCTCGCCAGGCAGGTGGAGATTGGCCAGAGCCAGTTGTCTGCACTGGAGGAAGACGAGAGAGGGCCTCGGGAGCCAGGGGCCCCGGGAATGTCTGTGGGGCTGATGACCCTCACACTGAGCTTCTGTTGGTCCCCACAGTCCATGATAAACACAGATCTGAGACGTGGACAGGGGCCAGCCCTCAGGCAGGGCCCGTGAGAGAGTAGCAAGGCTGCCCAGAGGTAGGGTGTGTCCAGTACAGACCTGCAGTGGGGTGGGGGTGGGGGTGCCAGAGGCCGCCTGGCTCAGGCACTGACCCCTGCAGTTGTAGCTCCACACCGAGGTGCTGTCCCTAGGATGCATCTCCCACACTGCACAGCGTGGAGCCTCCCGGTGAGCTGCCACCTGCCGCCATCTCTCATGGGTGTTACGGGTCAATGAGAGTAGACAGTTCCTATGGAAACCAAGACCTGGTTATGGGCCGGCACCGCGGCTCACTAAGCTAATCCTCCGCCTTGAGGCGCCAGCACACCGGGTTCTAGTCCCGGTCGGGGCGCCGGATTCTGTCCCGGTTGCCCCTCTTCCAGGCCAGCTCTCTGCTGTGGCCAGGGAGTGCAGTGGAGGATGGCCCAGGTGCTTGGGCCCTGCACCCCATGGGAGACCAGGAAAAGCACCTGGCTCCTGCCATCGGATCAGCGCGGTGTGCCGGCCGCAGCACACCGGCCGCGGCGGCCATTGGAGGGTGAACCAACGGCAAAGGAAGACCTTTCTCTCTGTCTCTCTCTCTCTCTCACTGTCCACTCTGCCTGTCAAAAAAATAATCATAATAAAAGACCCGGTTATGAGCAGATGCAGGGGTGCTGATGCCTTCTCTGTACACTCAGCCCGGGAAATCAGGCCTTTGTAGGGGTGGGCTTGGGGCCTCCCCTGCCCGGGCGGGCGTGTCTGCGAGCTGGGGGAGCACCTGGCATCGTCTCCCCCCTGCCACCAACCCCACAGGGGAGCGGCTGGGCTAGGACCGTGGTGTTAAGGAAATGGGCACCGGATCAGCGGTTGTAGCTCACCAGTTGTGTGAAGGTTTGGGTGGGAGGCGAGCGCTTCCGTTTGGAAAGCCAGGGAGGCCCCGTGGAGAACCAGGCCTCGCTGGGGAGGTTGGAGGGGGGGCCTGGAAGATGCTGACACCAGTAGGCTGTGCTGGTCTTCCTGACCGGGTGCTGGGCAGGGGCGTGTAGGCTGTAGGTGGGGCTGCACTCATTCAAGACGCCTCTTCCTCGGGCCTCCAGGGCTCCGTGAATCCAGGGCTTTAGAGGCCAAGGTTGAATCTTGGTCTGAGTTGGTAACTCCATGGTGAGGGGTGGGCTTAGCGGAGATGGACAGCCTCCTGACCTCATCGGACAGGCCAGTGGGGGTGGGGGTCAGTAAAGGGAGAAGGCCATGATCTGTTCTTGCTAAGTTGGCCTTTGCACTTCCGGGTAGGAGAGGAGACTGGGAAGGGTGCTTCCCCACGAGTTAAGAATCGGTCAGCACAGACTCCGTAGCCCCCTGAGGTCCAGGTTCACTGCCAGCGAACAAGGAGTTAATTATCATTCACAACCAACTGTAGCCCGTCCCCGTGGCAGCCCGGGCAAGTCCTTAACCAGGTAACAAAAAATCTTTCCCGTGCATCCCCACAGCCATCGCCACCTTCCCAGCGGGGCTCACAGGCATCCCCTGTGGGGTGGGGGGACAGGGTAGCAGGGCACGTGCGTGTCCCCTCCCCCGTTTCAGTGAGGGGTGATGAGGCCACAGTGCGTTGGGGTGCACACTGGAACCCCCAGCCCAGCACGGCCTCTGGCCGGGGCCGCAGTGTCCCCTAGGGGAACAGGACTTTCAGCGCTGCACCTGCCCCTGCACGGGGGGGAGGGTCTCCCGTGTCACGGCCTGTCCACACGGGGCTTCTCAGTCCAGCCCCAGCTCGCGCGCCCTGCTTCTGCACCGCCGTGGCCAGCTCCAAGGCCTCAGTCCCCCAGCCTCTTCCCCGCTGCCCCAGGAGACGCCCCTGGACCCCAGACCTTGCCCACCGCTGCCCCGCTGTGGAGCCTGGACTGGGTTCCCGGTCTGAAGTCTCCACAAGCCCTCCCCACAGCTCTGCAGGGCCCCAGGCCCTGGCTCCATCACCTCCTCTGCAGAGCAGGAAGCCTGCTGGGAGGAGGAGGCATGGCAGAGGAGCTGGCCGGCCGGGAGCCTGGTGCAGCTCTGACATGGCCTGGACATAGGGGCCCCCGGGGCCTGGTGGGCGCCGCGCCCACCCCGCGGGTCCCTGTTCTGCTCCCGACCGCTGGTCGCAATTCCTCTGTTCTCTTACTACCTCGGCAACCGCGCTGGGTTCACCCTTTGCTACCCAGCCCACCCTGGGAGCAGAGGAAGGAGGGACACAGAGAACAGGACCGGGGAGTGAGGGTCTCAGGGCTGGAGAAAAGCAGCCGGAGCGCGGGCGGGAAGTGGGGGGCAGGGGAGAGAGGCAGAGCCGGGGCACCCGGCAGTGCCGGCCCAGCAGTCAGCTCCAGATTTCCCCCCGGCCGCATCCCCGCCTTGGTCTCCACCAAGCCAGGGCTGGGGGGTGGCTGCAAGACACGCTCCTCTGGGGTCATGGCCCCTGCCCCAGGCGCAGGCCTCAGCACGCCCTGCACACCCCCCAGGGATCTTATCTCGCAGCCCACCCTCACTCCAGCCTGGTTTATAGTGCCCAGCCTGACCTCCGAGGGGCCACGGAATTCCCCCCGGTGTGTGTGGTTCAAGGAGCCCGCTTATCTTCCTGCCTTCTGCATCGCTGGGCTGGGGCGTCAAGAAGAACTGGATTGGGGTCAGCGCGAGGCCCCTGGAGCCAAGCTGCGCACTGTGGGGTTTAAAGCCGGGCGGAGCTGGGAGGGGCCCTTGTTGAACACTGCTGTTTGCTGAGGCCCCTGCCCAGCCTGCCCGCGGCCCCCCTCACACACCCCTGCTGCTCTGGCCCTGCCCTGTTTTATGGTGCAGGTTGGGTCTTTGTCCCCCTGTTCAGGGGAGAGGGCTCCCTGCACCAGGTCCCCCCTCAGCTGCATTGTGCACACACAGCCCCCCTTAAAAAGCCTTTCAACCTTGCACACCCAAGACGGGAACTCCCCCTGGGCAGGGACCTGGGGGGAGCTTAGGCGCTCAGAGAGCACAGCCAGCCTGGGGAGCGTTGTCCAGGCGACTAGGAAGCTGGAGAACAGAGCTACTGGAAGACAGGCAGGAGGGAGGGAACGCGGGCAGGGTGTGGGCCAGCAAGACCATCACACACGCGCGCACACACGTGTGCACACACACACACACGCGCGCGCACACAGCCGGTCCGGGAGGCACCGGCAGGAGCCGCTGGCTGCCCGGGGCCAGGTGGGTTCTTTCAGGATGGCCGTGCTCTTGAAGGGCGGGGAGCGAGCACGTGCCAGGCGCCTGCTGTGTGCCAGGTGTGCTTACATATGCGATCTGTTTAATGTCATCTGCTCGACAAAGCTGCTGTGGAGGTGTTCCCAGCTCCTGGAGGGAGCCGGCTCCGAGAGGCCGGCCGCCACGCCTGGGATGCCAGCCCCGTCTGTCGGCCTGACCCCGTGTCAGAGCGCTCAGCTGGTGGACTCCCAGCACCGTGCCAAGGAGAGGAGGGGCATTGCAGCCTGGGGGGGGGGAAGAGTGGAGAGCCGATGGCTCCAGGAGACAAGTGGGGCCTTCAACCAGGGGAGTTCCCAGATTGCTGGTGTTCCACTTCAGTGCCGAACAAGCGGGACACCATCTCCAGTTCCTGATGCCCCTCCCCCCACATCCACATACATCCTCCCGTGCTCCCGGTCAATGCGAACCCAGCCTGCACCTGCCACGGACAGACAGGTGTGTTCTCCTCCCAAAACGGGCCCAGCAAGGCAGGGAGGTGGGAACAGCAGCCGTGGCTGACAGGTGCGTGTGGCGCTGTTCTGTGCACGTCCCTCCCCCGTCGCCCCTGCAGCCAGAGGCCTCTAAGGGAGTTGCCCAGGGACACGGCTGCCAGCTGCACCCAGCTGCTGCCTCGAGCTGAGCACTGTGGAGGGTGGGGTTCCTGGGACTGCCCTTAGTTCCTCCCACATAGCAGGAAGGAGAGGTGCCAGCCTCCCGCTAAGCTTGGGGGTCTTCACCAGCCCCTACCACTCCCAGAGGCTAATCTTAATTTCTGGGGCCCCCAGGTCCCACCCTGGCTCTGCAGGGCAAGCCTGGAAGGCCTTTGGGTGGAGGGTCCTGCCCCTCTGAGAGATCACCCGTATGTCCCACCTGTCCCATTCAGCCCCAACCAAGACCTCAACTTGCCCGACACCACCAAGGACCCCTCCCCTGCCACAGACACTGGTGGGGGGGGATGAGGAGGGGCAGGGACATCAACAGAACTTGACCACAGGCCATGACGTTCCTGCTGCTGCCTGAGGGTTAGGGCAAGTCAGAGAATGGAGGAGGTCCAAGGGTGAAGGAGGCATTCCGACAGCTCGAAGGAGGCATCCCGACAGCTCGGGAAGGGAAGCCATGGCGGGGGGGGGGGGGCACCCGTGGAGGTGGAGGAGGAGCTGGCGCAGGGAGGAGGTGGCCCGCCTCAGGTCGGGCCTGCTGCTTGGGCTCCTGCTGAGCTTTGCCAGGACACCTGACTGTGGACAAAATGCCCGTCACTCATCCCACACACACACACACACACACACACCCCGGGCTCAGGCTAGGTGAGCTCACAGCCCGCCTCCCTGCCCCGTCTCCTCCTCGCTGACCAAGCTTCCCCCTCCAGACCAGGCAGCCGCCTGCCAGTGCCAGCCCTCCCCAGGGGAGACTCAGCCCCAGAAGTGACCTGGCCAAATAGAGAGGACCCCTGCCCCCCGCCCCAGCCCCTCGTTTTCAATCCCTTGCAAAATTAGAAGAGGAAGTGCGTGCACATTGCATGGAAATGAACTCCAGTCCTTCAGTGCCAGCCGCCCCAGGGACGCACGCCAGGTCCTGGACCCCAGCTGTGCACAAACCCTCGCAGTCGGAGCTCTGGAGAGGCCACAGCCTGCGGCGTGGAAAGACAGCCACACCAAGCGCTGCTCGCTGATTGCCCAGCACGGGAGTCAGGGAGTGTGAAGGCAGGACAAGGCCCGCCCCAAGTGGAGAACATGGCGGCCAGCGGGACCCGCCAGCGGCCTGCCTGCCTGCCTCCTCCCTGCACCTGCCTCCCCCTGCCCCAGGTGCAGCCCGGCTGCCGCCTCAGCTCCAGCGAGTTGTCTCTTCCCTGCTCCTGCCTGGCTGGCTCCTTCCATGTGTATTTTTTTTCGAAAGCATACTAAAGGAACTATTTTTTTTTTTAAGGCTTATATATGATTTGAGAGAGTTACAGAGAGAGGGCCCACCCAAGAGACCTTCCACCCACTGGTTCACTCCCCAGATGGCCACAACAGCCAGGCAGGAGCCAGGAGCTTCCTCGGGGTCTCCCACACAGGTGCGGGGGCCCAAGCACTTGGGCCATCTTCCACCGCTTTCCCAGGCCATAGCAGAGAGCTGGATCAGAAGAGGAGCAGCTGGGACTTGAACTGGCACCCGTATGGGATGTGGGTATTGCAGGCGGCACAGCTTTGCCTGCTGTGCCACAGTGCCGGCCCCTAACTCTCCCCCAGGTAAGCTTTGGCTCCACGGACTGTGGCCTTCGAAGGGGCACGTCCCCTCTCAGAGCCCTCGGTGATGTCACTGTGCCTCAGCTGTTTCCTATTAGCCCCCTCAAGCTATGGCTTCAGCGAGTTGATTTTCCAAAGGGTCAGTCTTAGTTTGAATCAACGCGTCCAAACAAAATCAACTCAACCTAACCCAAGCACAC